ATATTCGAACGTAAAAATAAACAGATAAGGCGCAACTGTCGAGATAATAATATACCGAGGACGATCGCTGTAATTTGATATCTGTAATTTATAGAACTGGGTTTTTAGCATTTGTATTCAATTCATATTCAGCTTTCTCGGTTGCTGACGTTTACCGCGATTAATTTCGTTGTAATTAATTGTATTACCAAGTGCTTTATCTTCCCAAATAAGTAAAAATACCTATTTTCTCTAAAAATAATAAATTGACCTTGTACGAAATTGAATAGGGAATGTCAAAAATTGTCGCAATTTTCTTTGCACCCTCGTTTAGGCATGCGCCGTCTTCGGTTAGGAATTTTCGAAAAATTGGAAAGAATAGTTGTGTCTTTGCTACATCCTATATGAGTATCTAGGATGTAGCACCGAATTCTACTATTTGCGCTTAGATCTCAAAAATTTGAAAATGATATAAGTTCTTAGCGCACCTTAGCAAAAATTTGTAAATAAAGCTGTAAATAATTTGGTAAAAACATTTCGTTCAACAGTGCATTTATTTTAATAATTCCGGGCTGCGGCGTATTCCATTTCATGCTCGCGAGCAAATTTTTGTACTACCTACTAAAGTACTAACCATTTCATTTTTTAAACCTTTATAATTAAATAAATGAGTTAGATTATAGACCTATAATTATAATTCATTGCAACCTCATGAAGGATATCTACGAACCGAAGAACTAGCGAAAATTTTGCAGGATTACATCAACCTCTGTATTATTTAAATCCAAGATTCTATTTCTAAATTGACTATCATGTCATTATAAAACAGTTATTAATGAACTCCTAGCGAGTTTATAATTTTGCGGTGTCTGTCCGTCCGTCCGTTAGCACATAAGTCATAAACGAATGGACCGATTACGGTGAAATTTTGCAGGTGGATTCTTTATCAAATTTGTAGATCGGAGTTCATGAATTGGTATGTAGACCAAAAAATAAAGTAGGCCCTTTTGACACCTCCGTTAGTTATGAACCGAATTGCATGAAATTCAATATGCGCATAGCTTTAACCATATAAAACACAATTCCAAAAGTTGAGCCTAATCGATCAGCATGCACAGTGCCCTTTGCGCAGGGGCGGACTGGGTACTTACGGCCCAGGTGTAATTGCATAGGTTACCGGCCAATTTTTTTGCTTCATTTTAAAGTATTCCTTTCTCGAAAATCAATTAGAATATAGTTTTTTTTAATTGCAGAAGAGAAACGTGTTAATAATTTATTAATGGTGCAAGAAACTAAATACAGCACATACTTATAAATAGTGCTAGGATTTTAATGACGTTAAAAATCAGCGAAAATGCAAAATAAAAAATGCAATTACGACAAAAATTTCGCAAAAAAGACAAAAATTTAAAAAGATGAGATTTTAAATAACAAATAAATTTATTGATGAAACTGAATAAGACGCAAAATTTCAGTGGTGGTTCATTTCCACTCTCTGCAGGCCAGTCGTAGAAACTAGGTATGTAAGGTACTGACTCACTTAGCGCATCCCAAAGAAATTTAATCCCTTTTAGTGGGCATTTGTTTGTGGACGACTTAAGCACGTTCCAAGAAAACGTTAACTAGGCATTTAGCTTACAATGGAGGTTCAGTGGTAGAGAGTTGGGCTATAAATCCGGAGGTCGGGTGTTCCAACCTGGGTTGAGGTGAATTTTTCATCTGTGGCAGAGATGAGAATTAGACCTTCTGCAGAGACACCTCTAAAAAGCATTATGCGGGTCACTCTGTAATTGGGCGCAAACCTGTTGAGGGCCCAGAACAAGATAGAGATAATAAATAAATACAATAATAAAACGTCTGGCATAAGAACGCATTGACGATAATGCTCTGTTGTAATGTAGGTAATATGAACTTGAGAGAGATATATTCTGTTTGGTTTATTTTTTATTACATATCATGAAATGCGAGTATCGGTACAGGAAATTGAGTTTTCTCGACACAAGTAGGTATATTTAGTGTTCCATCGCGTTAGTGCAGTGAATTTTTATTTCGTAAATTAACAAGTAAAGTCGTTACATATTTTACATAAACTCGTTTAATTATTAATTATTAAATGTGGTCACTGTGAAAACTGTTATTACTTAAGTAGTTGCATTCACAGTTTACCAGGTAAGTAAAAATCACTGATCTCGAAAAAGAGTCGCGCGGGAAAGTTATAGTTTGTCCAAACCAATTTATTTTGATGAGACCTTTCATTAGAATACCGTGAAGGGTAGTACATGCCCCCCCCCATTTTCTGAAGTTTAACCACTAAAGGCATGCATATGCATATGACATCACTAATGACGTCTGCAGACGTCTCAATCGCCCTTTGTGAGTACCCTATTCCGACAATCTGTTCTTGAGGTATAAGGGAATATACCCGAACACGATAAGAGGTCGAGGCTATGGTTTGTAGAAATTAATTCCTGTCGTTGAGCCCTTTCATTAGAGTACCATGAAGGATAAAACTAGTTCCACTCCCCCCCTCTCCACCCAGTACTTTGATTAGAGGACAGAAAGAAGGGCAGTAGTTGGTAGAAAACGGAAAACGGCTCCTTTCGTTGAGACCTTTAATTAGAATACAATGAGAGATAACATTAATTTTTAACACCCCCCTCCCCCTCGGGCCTCGCCGCTCACTGATCTCGAAAAAGAGTCGCACGGGAAAGTTATACTTTGTACAAACCAATTTATTTCGATGAGACCTTTCATTAGAATACCGTGAAGGGTAGTACATGCCCCCCCCCCTCCAATTTTGTACAGTTTAACTTGGCACCACTAAAGGCATGCGTATGCAAAATCTGATACCAATTGGTTATCGTATGTAAAAGATATGCACGCTTTACTTTGAAAAACAGCATCTCAGGAAATAATTCGTATTTCAATAATACAATACAATATCAAATATCAAATTAAAATTCCATGCGTCCTACGTACGAAATTCAAATTACGTACTTTCATTGAATAAAATGTACTTTGCCCTCTAATGACGTGAGCGACCTCCCTCTTATAATTGCTAAACTGTGTAGCATAGAATCGCACCCGATAACGATGAATACATTTGGAGATCATGACGTTGCCGTGACGATGTACCTTGGCTCAATAGATGTCGTCAAGAAATTTTCTTTCCACAAAAACGGCCTTTAGAGTCAACATTTTTGGTTGAAATAACATTCATTCAAATATATAATGTTCAGACATTTGCATGAAACAAAAATTATTTAGCTAATTCCTGTACTTACACTGTTATTTAAGAAATAAGAATCTTAAAAATTAGCCATATTTATCTTCCATTTTTATCCCACACTGATAACAATTTGTTACAAAATTTACTTCATTCACAAGTTTAAACCTTTAACTACAATCGATCGTTTACAGAAGGTCATTCTTTTACCTCGCAACAAAGTTATTGTGGAAATCGCAATGACACTTTTGTACTAGTTTACCATACATTGTAAACGCCACCTTAACCATCTGAGCTAGGCGAGGCTTTGAGATATGAACGTTTAGCAGTTCAAATATTGTTAGAATGAGGGGGGCGCGATTGCAGGGGCGTAGAGGGTAAATCGTAGGGGGTAGCAGTAGGAGCGGTAGATACCCCTAGGCCGTATAAGCTCACAAGTCACAACGCTACGGAGAGCATTGAGATGTTTGCGAGTTGTAGAAGGGTATAACGCGAGGGTGCGTCGCCGATAGGGGCTAGAGGCTATTTGGCGGGGAAGCGCGTTAAAATGATAAAATAATACGTACGACGCTCGTGTGCGAAATAGTATATTTCATTACCAGTCCAGAAAGGAAGATTTTCCCGTGGGCGCATGACGTTTCCCGTGTGAGGCGAAGCCGAACACGGGAAGTCATGCAAACACGGGAAAAGCCTTTCTGGACGTGTAATGAACGATATTTTTCATTATACCTTTCCGAAAATAACGGAGAATAATTATTTACATTGAAGTTCTAATCCAATTTGACAACAAATTCTGTTGCTTGTCTTATGACCCTTAAACCGCCATTCTCTTCAACACATCATCAATAGTCGATCGAATTGTATCGTCTCCTCTGCATCTTGCTACAAATTTCCGAATACTAAAATAACCTTAGTAAGTAATAACCATTTTTATCTCTGCAGCTTCATTCAAAAATTGCTCCCTTGTTATACAGAACTTTTGATTTTTTTGGGATGTAGCCGACGGTCTGACGCTTCAAAAAGTCGATGGTTTTGCACAATTTGCTAGCGTTTTCATTTTCTTTTACCGCAAGAATATTCTTAATCATTGAAAACATACTCCATAACGTACTCTTTTCACGATTTCTTCAACGCACCAGTTACAAAATTTTTCATATTCCTTTTCGGATCTCTCTTTTCATTTCGCTGGTAATAGTTGGAAACTGGTTTCTGCAGCTTCTCTTAATATATGAGCGGGAATTTCGACTTCACCAAAATCCATTTTTAACACAATGGTAAAAAATCGGTTGACATATATATCAAAGTCAAGCCGCGGTATGCATGGCAACGCATGGGATAGGGATAGCTATGGCAAACTTGATTATTCGTAGCGCACGGGAAAAAGTTTTCCAGTGCGCTCGCACGGGAAAGCCCTACTTTCGGTGCGCTTGGGATACATGAAAAGACAGTACTTTCGGAGAGGTATAATGAAAAATAATTATTCATATTGCTAACTAGAAAGGAAATGAGCTTATCTTCTTTATGCTTTATTTTTATTTTTAGACGCATTATTCTAATATTACATTCTAATATGACATTGGTTTTGGAATATGCTTTGACGAAATACAATCATTACAATAAATCATTAGCGGCGCGGGTCCATCGATGTGAGTGCGCTGCCATGGCTGGTTCCAATGTTTCTTACATCGTATTCGATTACGTAATTCACATGTTTTTTTTTATTTTATCAATAATATTACAGTAATAGGTGGTCTTTATTATTATTATTAATATTATTATAAACACATGTTACAAACTAAATTTTGCGTACGATACTAGTGAACGGCTCATACTCGATTAATACATCATGTAAAATTACGCAGTAAGCGATAGTTTCATTTGCAAGTGCAGATGATGCTTCAACTTCCAGCTTCAAATCGATCACCACGTTATGGACGCTTTCGTTTTGACGGGTGCAATTGATAATGAAGATAGGCTGCTTTTCGAACTCTTTGTAGCTAAGAAGGGAGCTCTCCTGCGGCGAGTCGTAATATTGATTACGAAAGTTTAAATATTCTTCGTAAGCGTCCACATACTTGTTATCGGTAAAGACCAGATTTTGCTGCTCATACGGATATCTTCGGTTGTTAATGTTTGCTTTTATATTGGAAATGCTTAAATGGTTAAACTCGCTCGCATCTGCTTCTTTGTTATTTCGCTTCCTAGTTTGGAACGCAATCAGTAGCCATTGAGGCCGTTGAAACCCGGTGCTGCTTTTTACCGACCAAACCAACGATCTGGTGGTGGGTAAGGTTGGGTATACGTAAAGGTCGCGCGCATGAAACGCCACTTGTATCGGTGAATTCTTGTTAATCCTCCCGTAGATCGACAACTTCATAGCATCGTTCGGAATTACGTACGGAACTTTTGGCACATACTCTCGAATTTCGTTTAACAACCACTCACACTTTGAAATATTGGTCGGCGTCGATGTCATTTTGCTGCTCGTACACACATTGAGAACAAATGATGCGATAAAGTGGTATTTATAATGCGGAGCCCTTTTTGCGTCCTTAACGATAAACAGATAATTCGCATCCTTTTCGATTTATAAATATAAATAGTCGAACTTTGACTTATTGAATAAAACACATTGTATGCATTTACAATGTATTATTTTCGTAAACATATTTATTATGAAAGGAAATGCATTACAAAGTTCAATAGTGGACATATGTACTGCAATCTATGTATGATAATTGTTTGTTTATTGCCATTTGTTAATAGTGGATGCGATTTCATAGGACCCTTTCAATTACGCGACAGAAGCACTAGATCTGCAAGGGGTGCTAAATTGATTAAAGGATATGTGTGTTTGTTCATATGTATGTCCACGAAGGCAATACACCTTGAAGCAGTCTCTGATTTAACGACAGATTGTTTTATTGCGACTTTGAAAAGATTTATTGGTAGGATGGGTAAACCGGCTAACATATATTGCGATAATGGCACCAATTTTGTTGGGGCAAGTGGCGAATTAAAAAGAATTGATGAATTTTTGAAAAATGAGTCTGATTTCTGCCACAATTATTTGGTAACTGAAAATATTGCGTGGTGTTCGCAATTTGCGATTCTTGTTGTATTTGTGCACTCATCTCGATATAAATCGATTTCTTACTTTCTTAATGCTTTTATACCTTCTCTTAAAACTACTTTGGAGGGGATTAAAAGAAATCCATCATGCGCAGTGTATCTTAAAGGTGTAGGTATAAAACTGCGAACGAGGTAATGCTAAAAATCATTGCGTTAAATCCTCATATCGAATCGCTCCTACTGCTACCCCATACGATTTACCCTCTACGCCCCTGCAATCGCGCCCCCCTCATTCTATCAATACTTGAACTGCTAAACGTTCATATCTCAAAGCCTCGCTTAGCTCAGATGGTTAAGGCGGCAGATTCGTAATTCACGTATCGACGGTTCAAATCCTCGACGCAGCCTTTTTTTCAGACAAATATTTCACAAGCTATGACGCGTTTCCTGGTCCAGAAACACCGGAAGCAAAACACACAAAATGTGACGTCACAAAATGGCCGACTCACGCGCTCCCATTGGCTCACACCTCACCACGTGACCACAATACTCGATTCTCATTGGCGTGACGTCACTTCCTGGTCTAGAAGTCTCTTTGCTCATCTACTTTCGCCTATGCGTTATGGAAGCTTCCCACATGACCCCCAGTCGTAACATTCGATCATAGGCCACATTTTACAATAACGGGCCTATCACCAAGTCCTGCGACACATTAGGATTTCTCAATGAAAGCTTCGCCTTTTTTTACGTGTTTGTCACCTGTACCTGATTATGATAAACCACCTGTCTGGATCTCCGCTTGCCTCTTACGACTTTCTTTTTCAGTAACGAATACTTGGTCCCCTATTCCCGTATTGCGATGTAGATGATGCTACGTACCTACTGTTCCAATATCTCGGCCAATATTCCCTCCATCCATCGGCCGGACCTCTCCGAGCTACATCTTCGGTACAAGGACCACTGTTGCCCTTTTCCAATGTGAAAAACTTTAATTTTTGTCTTATTGATATCTTCGCCGTGAGGATTTTTAGTCCTCATAACGGTTACGGTATATTAGTATCAAACACCTAAAGGTTATAACTTATAGTCCCAACGGCTTCCAAATGAAATAAACTTGTAACAAATATAGCAAACGAGCTTCTGGGCCAATGAAAATTTAATCAGTTCTTCCTTGGATTATGAATTGATGATAAACATTATACTGAAAACAGAATTGCAAAATTCGAAACCGTTCGCGAGTTATCATGTAGATACACAGACGGACGGACGGACGGACAGAAAGTCCAAAATTATCAACTCTAGCTTTAGGTACTCGTTAATAAAGGAATCGTCTTTGCAGCTTCAATGTAAAATGTGAAACTAAATCCAGATTAAGTATTCAATTTAAAACTGTAGATGTTTCGAGCATAGCGCTAAAAAATTCCTTTTATCTATCCGAAAATAACAATAAAATGTGTATTATTTTCTATACGCCATCCTGTATACTTACTAGCATTGTAAACAAAGTAATAAATTCACTAGCTTTGAGCTTTGACTTATCTACAATATTTAATTTAAAAAATACTATGCGATCAAAAATGAGTTGTTGGTCGAGTCACCTTTGGAATTTTTGTTTACATGGGAAATGAACTTCCAAAGGCGACTCGCAGCAACTCATTTTTGATCGCCCGTTATATCTGGATCCATACATAAGACAAACATATGTATGTCTGTATCTATCGACAGGCAATGGTTGAACCGACTACCAAATTATGGTTAAAGTACCTAGGTACCTTTTGTCTACTGAAGAATTCGCACATCATTTGCGAACAAATCCCGACCGGAAATAGAGATTTTTTTAAAATACCTTTCGTTCAGTTATAACAAGCGCTTTATCTCTTAACTGCTCCCCTAATATCAATGTACATGATATAAAAAATGTAACTTAACAAATACATTTATCAGTCGTCTGGGGTTAAGGTACAATCGTAATGATCCTTGATTGTTAGTAAGCTACCAGTGCTCAAAGAAACGCGTTGTGTAGTGTACAATCAGTAAGTAACTTTCCCCAGTATAATCTAATTAAATAGGTACCACTTTTGACAATAAATGAGAATTAAATTACCAAATATAAGACTAGTATAGTTAATAGCAGCTAGATAAGGGTGCGGGTGCCATCATTCTTTAACGAGTGTAATCTGCAGTATGCACAAGCACTTTTATTCAGAAAACCGTACGAATGCAGTTCTATTCGTTACCATAGCTATTGCTATCGTTTAGGAATTAATTACTCAATGATTTGTTTGTTACACCATCATTAACAAACGATTATTGTAATCTGCAATTAATCTCACTTAATTTACTTACGTAAAACTAAAAGTAAAATGTAAAATCGTTTTCTAAGAGTTGTGGAACACTTTGATTTCTTTCGGAAAATAACAGAAATTATGCCTATAAAGCTATCCACGTTTTACAACTAAAGCAACATCCCAAAACGAGACGATAATATACTTGTTGAATAAATGAAAAGGAAATATTTCAATGTTATTTATAGTTTTATTGTTTTATTCGTTCAATCGCAAAAAGTAAATATTTTTCCAGTTCTCTAATTAAAATTGTTTGTTATGAAAATTAAATACAAATGCAGGAGTAGCGATATTTTCAATTAACTTTTTTTTCGAACAATAAAAAATCAGCCATATCCGAACTACACAAAATAACACTATTTTTATTATTCGAGTAGTAGGTACCTACTTATAGGTATTTTGGCTCCAGATTTTCAAACAATTTGAGATATTCCCCAACGAAATGGAGCTGTAGCCATAGAGATGTTGAGCACTCACCGCCATCACCACATATCCCAAAATGTAATATATAATTCTTCTATTGCATTGTTCCGTTTCGTTTCCCCACCGCAATTGGTGAGAAAATTGCAAAAATTTGGACGTAGCTGTCGTGGCTGTTGTGATTTTTAGTCCCTACGTATTGCGGTATGAAGAAAATCTTTCACAGGGAAACAATACAATGTTTATCTCTCGCGTGCTACTTAAAATTGCGACAATCGTACTGTTCCGTATGAAAGAGAAGGACGCAGCGTAACAGCTGCTCGTGGTGTACGCACCGATGTAAGAGAGTGCGCATGCGCTCTCTCCATAATATGATAGAAACGGACAGAAATATTAATTACTTTAATATTAATTAAGGGTAGTCTTGACATAATATATTTAGGCAACACATTTGCAATGTGCTCGTTTACATATATTAAGATTGCTAAACAAGTTGGAAAGTTCTCGATGCGTCGAACTTCTTACGAGCGTTTTTGTGCGACGGATTGATGTTTTATTAGTAAACCCATTTTATGCTACAGTTTCATTATGAAGGAAACTTTTTGTGCTGAAATATAATCTGCATGCAAAGAATTGTGACATAAAGCTAATGCTTCAAATCCGAGCATTCTACGATGATTTCTTCGAGAGATACTTCAAAAATGTGTGCAGCCGACCGACCGATCGACCGAATTGAATATATAAGCGCTACTTTTTTTATAAACACTAAATTGGCGGTATATTAGTGTATTAACATGCTTATTCTTTTGTTGATTATACTCCACACCTTGTGTTCTTGCTTAACAGTTCTATCGTAGCCGAGATATTTTCTGAAGATTGGAAGGTTGCAAATATCACCATAAGCGTCTTACGGATTTGTCAAAAGTCTTTGAAAAAATACAAATAAATACGCACGTGTCCAGTTTCAGTGTTTCGCACAGTCGGGCTTTAAATCTGGGCATAGTTGTTTAACATCGTTGCTTATAGGATAACATAAATGATATCCATATCACATCTACTACAACCTGATTTGGTGACAAAGCGCGTTTTATTACGTACCTGCTTGCTTAGGGTACCTCACTAACCATAGGTAGCAGGTTGTCAAAAGGCACTATGTTTCACATCGACTGTCCATAGCATCTCAGGCTCAGTTGTTGGTCCAGTCCGAGGTCCAGTCGTTGTACGCGTTCATTTATCAATATACATATGGCACGCAATTGTTTTACAGTTCCCAAGAGTTGCCAACAGTTTCAAACAGCTTATAAAAGGCTCCAAGTGTATCACGGTTTTCAAGGGCCAATTAAGGTTTTTAAAACTATTCAAGAAACTTTCAGGGAACGCCTTTACCTAATTAGCTTTTAGTCTTTCAAAATGCTTGAAACTTATAGATATTCAAGAGCTTTCAGAAATTACTTTTGAGTCTTTAAGGGTTTCCGAGAGTTTCCAAAGTCTTTAAGGAGTTTATAGGACGATTTTAGCCATTTGATTAAGTTCTTAAGAATCTGTTAGGGATTTTTTAAAAGTCGCTTAACGTCTTGAAGAGTCTTCAAAATCCTCCAGAACCTTCTAGATAGTTTCGTTGAGCTATGAAGAGATTTTATAAGTCTTTAAGATGTTTAGAGTCTGTAGGCGTCTTTAATGAAGAGCCTGTGAGGGCGAAAGCCCTCCAGATATTTATAAAGCTTTACTTTACTTATTCTCTATTTTTTGGTTTTTAGTTTTAAAGTCAATATTAGACTGTAAGAAACTTTTAATATATCCAAGAGTCTTCATAAGGCTTTTAAGAGCTTTGTACAGAAGGACTATAGAGTCTTTCTGAGCTTTTAAAGCCTTTACCCTCATTCGAGCTTCTCAGTCCTTTAAGGTCTGTAGATTTTAGGTTTTGGAATCTTTAAAAGCCATTAAAGTCCTCAAGAGCCTGCCATTCTAAAACGGTTGAACGTACCTAATACCATTGAATAAAAATAGTGTTTTTATTCAATGCTAATACCTACTAGGAACTGATTCTGCCAACATCTTGAACTATGCAGAAAATAATGCTGTTAGTCTCATCCTTTTATGTGTTATGAGATGTTGCCGAGATAAAAAATAAAGAATAAGGAAAAGAAATTTTAAGGTTTTGTAGTTGATGTAAATCCCAAGTAAAACATTTTGCAACATTAGCTTATTTGTTGGTTTGGTCTTCTATTCACTCATATGCTTATTATTGCCCTATACCTAAATCTTTCATAGATATCAGCCAACTTGTCGATATTTAATCTGATACGATTGTATATGATGCTTGATTTGATTGTATCACTGTGATTAGACCATTTGAGGTTAGTTAGCCTAATTAGAAATAGGAAATTTTGAATAAGAATGTGTCACTATTTACTTAGGTGCTTACTTACGTGCTTACTTATGGCCTTCTCGCTCAAAATCGATGTATCTGGTTTATACAGTGAATTTTTTTAAAATGCGAACATAGGAGTTTGCATGCAATGTAATTTCCCTATGTTCGATTTAAAAAAAAACACATCAATCTATGAGGTGTGCGCGGTTCACATTTCCAAATCGTACAACTTGTGTGACTATGAACAGCAACTGATAGTCTTTATGATGAAGAGCACTCGGTAAGATTGTTTTGAATAAGCCGTGTGAGGCCATAGCAACTTTAGGATAAATTTTCTTAAACTTACGATAACTTGACTTCACATGGCACGCGCTGACATCGCAATTCATTGTGAACCAACCTTCAATTATTTGTAGGTCTTGTGCACCTAGTATTCTACTAATTTGATCTATTCAATACATAAATGAAGAAAATAAGAAAATAAATACCGAAAACAATTACAATAAATGTTGGAAGTGTCCTCCTTGGCATTGTAAGCAATAACCTAACCGATTTCGTAATTAAATTGGACGGCGGTATTTTCAAAAATGTGACAGCTGTCAATTGTATCTACTACTCATTTGAACTACTCAATAGATTGATGTGTTTTTTTAAAAATCGAACATAGGGAAATTACATTGCATGCAAACTCCTATGTTCGCATTTAAAAAAAATTCACTGTATACACTGTATATACGTATACCCCACCACCACTTCAGTAAAGAAGACTCTCGTGTAGTTATGTCGGTTTCTTCCTTTCTTGTTGCAGACTTGCACTTGCAGTGCGACTCGACACTCGACAGGTCAACTCAGTTGTGAAGGTGTGTGGCAGTGGTACTTTGCATTTTTAATGAGGAACACGGAAATGAATATCATGGCACAACAGAAAAATGAACAAACATTTAATTTAAAAAGTAGATGCACTGATCAGTCCCTTAGCAGCAACAAACATTTTGCAACAAACATTTTGTTTTTTTGTTTCTTGCAGTGAAAGCACTAAAGCAATCAAGCGCCCTCCATTTCCTTTTCTTAGACTTTGTAGAATATTTTCTCTTTCGTAAGTACCACAGTGCATCGCAATTCTGATGTTTGTAAAAGAAAATCCAAAGGAGTTTTCTGTTAATAACTATAATCACAGTTACAATACACGGCGTGGTAAGGATTTCTGCATTCTTGCGCATAGACTAAGTATGTCAGAAAATAATCCGAGATATATGGGCTCATTACTTTTTAACAAACTCCCAGAATGTTTCAAGTCTGAAACCCGACATAAACAATTTAAGTTTCAGGTAATGCATTTTTTATTGTCCCAGTGTTACCTACTATTCAGTGGAAGAGTATTTGTCAGATTCGTGTACTTAATTACATTTGGTATCGTTAGTAATACAATTATGTATGTTATATATTATTTAGTTATGTGATATTTTACACAACCTCTGTCATTGACTTGATCAATATCATGTTAAATGGTCTAATGGTCTAATAAACATTATTATTATTATTTTTTTTTTTTTAATTTTTTTTTTAATTTCTCACTTTTGTGGAGTTACATCAATGGACGGGTGTGAACACCAAGTACCACTGATACCTATTGTTATTTTATTGCCAGTGTAGGAAAGATCGCACTATATTACATGTTTTGAGGATAACGGATTTTTGTGCTAGTGTGTGTGTGCGTGGTGGTAGTTGTAGTGTTTGTAGGTTTGGTGTAAATGTGATGTGTGTGAGACCTGTAACAGATATAATAAAGGGAAGTATTAAAACTTTATCCTGTTTCCATATTCTTTGGACTTCTTGCGCGAGGGGTGTATATTTTTCAATTTTTTCTTGGTGTTTTTTATGAATGTTATCGTCGTTT